ATCATATATTAATGATGCAGCATGTGATCATTTCCCGCCGACACTGTTAGTTGGTTTAAGTGTGTTTTTCCACGCCCTGCTACCCGGATAATATCAGAACAGTAATAATAGAGACTAGAGTTTTATCGGAAAGTACCTTACTTTCAGACGAACCTGCTCAAGAAACTACAAGCATTTGGTATGTTGTTTATTAAAATTTTATACTTATTTAAATTTAGTTCGATTCGAAATATGAGATTTGAATTTTACTAAATATATACATTTACAAATGAATAATGACCCGTTCATATTTTTATTTTTTAAAATATTTATGATATTTTAATTTAACATTTAATATTTCTTTTGTTAAAATTTCCAAGTACAAACTGTATACACATCTTGTCGTCCGGAGATAATATGTTGTGTATATTATCTATTATATATTACGTATAGTATATGTTAGTACTAAATTATTTTATTGTTATTTTTATTTACCATCGTTAGCTATTATATTTATTTATATTTATTTAGTAATATTAGTATTAATTAAGTGTCTATATATATGTATTGGATCATGCGAGTAAAAAATGGGCACTAAACATTTTATTCATCTCATTGTTACAGGCCCAAATACAAGGCTTAGTTACAAAATTCCAAATCCAAAGCAATGCAACAGCCCAATAGTTGAAGCCCAATGGTGGAGAAGGCTCATGTTTAGACCCAACAAGACTAGGGTTTCTACCTTTTGTATTCGGTCGCCAACATCTCTGTCGTTAGATCAAAATAAGATCCAACGACTCAGGAAGGGTCATTGTTTAGGGTTTTGAGAAAGCCCTAACTTCAACTCACACAGCCACCTCTTCTTCAGCAGATTTGGCCTCTCAATTCGATTTTTTTTGTCGAAGTAATCTTTGTGGGAAAGAGATTCTGAGAAAATCAAGGAATCGAAAAGAGATGGTGTTTAGTATAAAACAAAACTCTAAAAACGAGATCTTTGTATCTATAAAACCCTGCAAAATAAAAAAGAAAATAGGTTAGATTTGAAGCAGAAAAATACAAAAGCTCGTAATCTTTCGAAAGGAAAAAAAAGCAATAAAAGAATATGTAAAAACATTCGATTTCACCGTCGATGAACGGTTGTCGGCACTGGTCCACAACGACCGACATGGCAAAGCATGGTTGGGAATCTGGGTTTCCTTTTATTTTCGATTGAAAGTTCTTCGTCAAATGAAAAACACGAAGAACATTTGAGATAAAATATGAAAGCTGGTTTTGATTCATTTCAGGTGAAGGTAAAAAATTAATGGTGTTTCTAATTTTATGGGTTTTATACTGACCTGAGGACTCGTTTGGAGGCCATAGGATCGCGTGTTTTTAATGGGTAGGGTCTAATTACTTCTATCATCCCTATAAGATAATCTTGAAAATTCATTTTGGCCCTTTCTCTAGGCCTGTAAACGAACCGAACGCACACGAACGGATGCATGTTCATGTTCGTTCATTTAATAAATAAGCGAACATAAACGAACACGAACATAAACGAACAAATTTTTTTTTGTTCATGTTCGTTCATTAAGGAATATAGCTTGTTCATGATCGTTCATTTAATAAATAAACGAACACAAACATAAACGAACACGAACATAAATGAACACGAACATAAACGTTGGAGACCCTACCTTCCATTGTTCTTTCATGAAAAATAGTCGACAATGCAAATCAACCAAATCTACAGTGATAATAGCGTAAGAGCTGATTAGCAGTGATGAAATGTTTGAAGATATCATATATTTCGATCAATCTTTTAAAGATATTAAATGATTCACACAACTTTAGAGTTAATTTGTTCGAACACGATAAAAACATACATAAATCATAAGTAAGCTATATGAATATAATAAAGTCTTAAAGTTAATTTGTTCAACAAAACAATCTTCTTGAAATCCAAACAACTTCAATAATATTCGTAACATATTCAACTTGCATTCATGATCAGTCGTTAATTCATCATCCATCCTGATCAAAATCAAACAAATAAAATTATATTAAATTAAAGGAGTTATAACAAAAGATGAAAAATATACTAAATTAGCGAGGTTATACCAATTCATTCATCCTCATTTTCAAGGAATCTCAACATGTATGATATCTTCGTTTTGCTACAACAAATCAAAAAACCAAAAATATATTAGTCATTGTAAAACCAAATTCAATAAAACTTAAAACATAAAAATACCTTGTTTTATTTTTCTCCAACCCATAGTATTGACGATACCAATCATCTCCACAAACAAGCATATCTACCATCTTAGTTCCTAAAGAGGATCGATGCGGATCAATAACCCTCCCACCAGCACTGAAAGCAGATTCAGAAGCAATAGTAGTGACCAGAATTGCCAATATGTCAGCAACCATTTTTGACAAAATGTTAAATTTAATATTGTTCTCCTTCCACCATCCCAGTCCACAGTCTTCATCTTTCCCAAGCCCCGAACCTTCCTACCATGCGAGTCCCTCATCTTCCTTATGCCCGAGTCTGACTCGTTTCAATTCAAATACCTCGACTCACCTCCTTCCATTCCTCCGTAACATTGCAGCCATATCCAGCAGCGCTCCACTAACCTCGCCACTTTCTTCCCCCACTAGAGGATATAAGCACAAATCTGACTGGGACTCCCTAAGGGCAACTCTAACGCGGATGACTGGGCAACGAGGGGTGGGCTGGAGAAGACCGACTGGTCAAATGCACCGTTCATAGCGGCGTATAAGGGGTTCCACATCGTTCAAGATGCCACAAAATATCCCTAAATTCACACCCCAAAATTAACATACCAAAAAAAAAATCAAATTATTTACCTTATGAAATCACGTTCAAGAAGGGAAAGAGATGAAGCTCTGTCGAATCGTTGCAGTTGAAGACTTGAAGCTCCGTCGAATCGTTGCAGAAATGAAAATTGTGGAGGGTGGGGAGAGTTGAGAATCAAGAACAGCTGAATGACGGGTTGGAGAAGAGTTGAGAAAATATTGTTTTTAGATTTAGGGTTTTTTGTATTACCGCTTAATCAAGCTGTAAAATTGGGTTAATTATGAAGTTGGTCATCAAAAATATCATATTAATTAATATTTTTAAGATACATACAAATTGGTCACCAAAATTGATTTAAGAATATTAGGTTAAACATAAATGAACGCACATAAACGAACATAACTAAACGCATATAAACGAACATAATCGAACGTTCACGAACGTAAATGAACGAACGAGACCTATGTTCATGTTCGTTCATTTAATTAAACGAACACAAAATATTATTCATGTTCGTTCATTTAATAAATAAACGCACATAAACGAACTTCCCGCCGCACGGTTCATGAACGATTCGTTGAACGTTCAGTTCATTTACAGGCCTACCTTTCTCATCCAATTTCACCTTTCTTTTTCCTAATTTGAATCTCCTAATTTCTTTTTACTTCAATTCCATCCTTTATTTAGTTTACTTTATTTTTATTTCATCATTTATTTATTTATTTATTAAATTCCTTTTAAATCTTTATTTCATTAATTTAATTTTAATTTTTATTATTAATCTAGGTAAGTACAACAACTCCTTAATTTTAGTTATTTTAAATATAAATTTTTAATCTTTCGACATTGATTGCTCATACCCCTGGCATCTATGGTGCTCAAACTCGGGTCCTCAGGAATAACAACAATTCCTTTACCAAGGAGGCCTCTTCGTTCGTGCTTAATTCCTTTTTTTTAGGTTTAATATACTTGATTTAGATTGAACCCCTTTAAATTTTTGTTCTAATTAGGTATTCACTTAGATTAATTAGGGAACTTTTTAGAGTAGTCTTCGTTTGTGCTCATGGTTTCTTTTCTAATTATTCAATTAAAATTTAAAATTTACTTAGAATTAATATTCAGAGCCTAAAATTTGGATTTATGTTCTTTAATTAAATAATTTATTCTCGACTTAGATAAAGCCTTAATTTTAGGTTTAGTCTCTAGTAAATAATATTTGAATAAAATTTTAATTTTTTTAAGGTTTAATATTAGAGCTTCAATTTTAGGAATAGTTTTATCAAGTCTTTTAAAATTCATAAATTGACACTTTACATAGACGCAGCCTTAATTAATTCATTAGCCTAAATAGGTTCAAAAATTGGTTGTTTGATTGCATAATTTGTTTTCAAAAATTAAAGGCAATGTTCATTTATTAGATGCAGCCTTAATTCGTTTGCAGGAAACAGACTTTTTTAGCAAATACTACCAGAACCTAGTGCATGCAATGCTGATGATGATGAGCTAAGATCTTTCCAAGATACATCACATTCATAACATCAGTATATGACAAGCAATGCTAAGAATAATAACATTTTTTTTTTTGCGAATGCAAACATAGTTAGCAGAGGTTCTTTGACATCAGAGATAGAGTATTATGATATAGCTAAACTGGCTGTGTTTAGCTAAACCGGTTGTTGGGCTGTTATAATTCTGTTAAGGGGTTAGTTAGAGGAGATTAGGTCAGCCTGTTGGTCTAAACCTGTCTATATAAAGTTTGTACTGGGCCTTATCCATACTTAGGCTAATATTATTTTGAGATTTATTCTTCTTCAACATCACTTGTAGTCAAAATCCCCAATATTCATTTACAGTTTCTATTCCGTTCTCATTCTTTGTATTACAATTCTTGCTTTCCTCTCATAATCTGTCAATCAGAAGTGGAAGTTTGGGGACTTAGTAGTGAGACGGCAAAACAAGTCCAGGATCATACAAGAAAAAGATAACTTCTTACAGTAGCATAGGTCAAGGTAACCAAACCATTCAAGCCTTGGAAGAAGATGATGATGCATATGGTTGGTTATCCCAACAGAGTTCATCAAGAAGATGGTAGAGCAATTAAACAAATAAAAACCAACATTATGCTAGAATATACTTCTCTTACTTTAATATATGTAAGCATTTGAAAGAGATTGTGTGAACTCGGAATACTACTTCGTTATGCTGGATTGGCTGTTCAACCATTCTGCTCAGCAATGTGCATATGGCATGCCACAGTTAATGCATTTGTAAGCAGAAACAGAGATATCACAGCAAACTCGGCTATTCTTTGCCTATCACCTATGTTGCACTGATACGGATACGGGGACAGATACGGGGACCGGGACGAGAAACGGCAATTTTTAAAATTACAGGGTACGGGGACAGCAAGGGTACGACATATAAAATAATTTTAAAATTATAAATATATATAAAAAATCATAAATAAAGTGAAATATTAAGACTCAAACAACAATATTAAGTTTAGAACAATAAAATCCATAAACAAGCCACAATATTAAAATGTCAAATTTCAAGATTCAAACCATAATATTAAGTCTAGAAAAATATTAAACACAAATAAAACATTGTTAATATCTTCCGAGATTAACTGGTTCTCTAAATCCGGCTCATCAAGCGAGAGTTCGTCAAACTCTAAATATCTAACATCTCCCAATGAATCAAAAGCATCTCCACCAACATCCCACATCTTGGTTTTCTCATCCTCATATTGACTAGAACTCCTAGATAAAAGACGAAGATTGTAGTGGATGTAAACTAAATCTTCGGCGCGACTCGGATTTAACTTATTCCTCCTAAGTGAGTGGATAAAATAACAAGTGCTCCAATTTCTTTCACAACAAGAGGATGAAGTAGGTTGTCCAAATACTTTAAAAGCTAAAGATTGGAGCAATGAAATTTCGGCACCAAAGTTAGCCCACCAACTTTTCGGATCCGAAGAATGCCTCTTTGTAAGAGACATCAGGTCTTCAAAAGGCTCGAGCTTAAGTGAGAAACAAGCAAATTCATCCAAGACTTTGTCGAAATCATTATCATTTGGAAATAACCTACGAAAATATTTCATTCTCTCACCATCTCTGTGAGGAGCAACTCTACAAGAATCCTCGCTTAGCCAACCATCACTATAAAACCTTCAACATATTAAAAAGAAAATTACACATAGCATCAAAGAACTAGGATTTGAAAATATAAAATTCAAAACTAACAAAGTTATGTATGTACCTTGGATTTAGTGAATGAGCTAGGCAATGAAGAGGAGTATAACTCTTTATCCAATGAGCTATAAGAATCCCATAAACAACATGATAAAAAGGACTGAAGTCTGAAAGATGACGTTTTTCCTTCTTGTAAATTTCACACTTCACTTTCTCAATCATGGAATCCCACAACTCATATACCAAATGAAGACATGACTTATTAGTGTCACATACTCTAAGCATGTCATAGATGAGCTTTGTAAAATCAATGATGTAAGCTATTTTATCCCACCAATAATCACTCACAAGCTTTTCTTTCACAAAGTTTGCTTTCACCATGTCATCCTCCCTATAAGAATTATATTCATCACTAATGACCATTGCTTGAAGTCCTTGCTTGATGAGTTTAAACCTCTTAAGCATCACAATGATCGAAGCAAAACGAGTATCGGCAACTGAAAGTAACTTAAGAGGACTAAATCTTTAAAAGATTACCAATCTCATGTTGTGGTTCATGATGAAATTCTTGATTTGTACGGCATCCCCATAAATATCAGTAATCCAATGGCACAAGTCATATGTTTCCTCATTTCCTTCTACATTTTTTGCTGAACAAATGTTCTTCAAGGCAAGATTAAGTGTATGGACAACACACGGTGTCCAATAAATATGAGGATACATGCTCTCAATAATTTCTCCTGCCCCTTGCAATTAGCTGCATTGTCAGTAATAATCTGCACCACATTTCGATGACCAACCTCATCAATCACTTCTTTCATCAAATTAGCAATGAAAAACTTATCTTTAACTTCACCACAACAATTCACGGCTTTAAGAAACATAGGCCCATTTCCAGAAGTACCCATGAAATTAATGAGAGGCTTTCTTGTTGGATCACTCCAACCATCACACACAATAGTTAACCCTTTTTCTTGCCATGTTGCTTTAATCGGTTGCAATAGCTTCTCAACATTATTTTTTTCTTGTTGGCGCAATGTGGTTCGTAATTTATTATAACCAGGAGGAACATAATCAGGAATATTGTGAGTTGCAGCAAAAGTGAAAGCCTTATGATAATGAGGATTTCTAGCAAGATTAAAGGGCAAACCACCGGTATAGAACATTCTTACAATTTCTTCATCTAATTGGGCTCTCGTATTCATGTCGAATGCTCTAGTAAGAGGTGACAAGCTAGGTTTTCTCTTCTTAGAAGAAGAATCAATCTCAATTTCAACTGAAGATTGAGAGGGCAAAGAAACCTCTCTAGTTACTTCTTGTTTCTTTCTATTCTCCCACTATTCTACCAACCTTACCATTTCAAGTTTTTGATTTGTAGTTACCTTTATGCAAATTGCAACTCCTTCACCTGAAATTTGAAGTAAATGTGCTTTTATCCTAGTATAGCTTCCATTACGAGTTTCGCCGCAAATGTCACATCGAAAATTCCAAGTACCTCCAACAGTCCCTTGTTTTTCTATCTTTGTCACATAATTTCACATTGGAGATAAATTCACATTTTGGGCCGATGAAATTGACCCACTCCCACTATTACTTGCAGTCCCACTACCACTTTAAGATGCCATATTTATACTAAATTAATTTATTTACATTAAAAAAATTAAATGAGTTTAAATATCATGCATCAATTAAATGTAATTGAAAACAAAGCATGTGAATATAAAAGGCGAATAAAAAAACCGAAAAGAGATGTGAATATAAGTTACATGCAGACTACTATGTTTTGCTTCGAATTGAAAAAAGGACGAGAACTGCCCATGAAACAAATAATTGAAAAAAATAAATAAAAATCCATTATAGTTTCAAAACATCAATGAATTTAATCCATAATCCGCCACCATTGTGTTAACTTTTGCAACCTATCCAGTCCACAGAAGAAAAGACAAAAATCACATGCAAGCATATAGGAACCGATGAAAATCGATATAATCTGGTTCAAAGCTAAGACGTATTGCCATTAAGTCATCCAAAATTCAAATGAACAAAACAATTGGATCAACTCATCAACCTATATCACTTTTACTACTGGTACAACTCATTGAATAAACAAGCAGTTCAACATCATAACAATTTGATTAGCTGCTGTAGTTAAATTATTTTGCAACAGTCATCATATACAGTTGACTCCATAGGTCATGTTTCAGACAAGCTCTAAGGTTTATGTTCGTACTCTAAATTGTAGGTATATACGGTAATGAAAAGTATTATATGCAGAGCATGAAAAGGGTAACAACGATAAGACAAGTGTTGATCTTTTTGTTGATAAAGGCTACAAAATTAATCTGGTTCCTGTCGTATGGATGATTATTTTCATTTAACCTGGTTAACAAAGTCAACCAATTGGTAGATAATCTTTCAGAAAATATTAGTTATGAAACTAAGAACACAAGAATAACCCCATAGTACCTACTCATTTAAAATATTATCTGTTACTCCCAAATCAAAGTTAAAATCATACTGCCCATTTATTAAAAAGAAAATAGCCATCATTCAATATGGCTTACTAAAGCAATAGTTTATCAAGTCCAAACTACAATAATACCGTAACAAACCTTGCAATATCTAGTTCAAGCAACAAAAAAGCTATTATTGGTTGCAATGCTCCTTTCCTTTCAAATAAGCTCGTAAATCTCCCTGCAAAATAAACAATGAATTAAAGTTTGAAAACCTAACTCTTAAAGAAACAGATAAGGTTGGAGCTATATTACAAAATCCAGTTATCTAGAATCACTGAAAAATAAGACGAAACTAAGATCTGGTAAGCAATTTCGTATCAATGAATTATCCAGTGCTCATACGCAACGAAAGAACACAAGTTGAAATCAAATCAGCAAGACATAAAATAAGACATAAGTGCAGGATTCCATTAAGAGCGGCAAAGTGCAGTCTAAATCTCCTACATAAGTCTGCCATATCCTTTGGCTATTATACAATCATATAATTCAAACCACCACTATGTACATACAACATACGTATATGCATGAGACCAACAAAGGTAAAGAAGTGAAAACAGAACATGGAGTATTGACCAGAACAACCAGGTCGCAAGAAAAATGAAATCACATTTAAAAGAATTATAAATCGGATGACAAAAAAAATTTGAAATTTGGCATTAAGTAGAAATCAAATACAAAACATCTGGAACGTATAGTTTAATGAATGTAAGACATCGAGAAAGACATATCTGACACAACAGAACTAATCAAAGTGAACCTCAGATGAAAAAACCCAGAAAGGAAAAACAACCCAAAAAGGAAAAACAACCCATAATAAAATAATCATCCAAATACAACAGAAAAAGAAACAAGATGAGAGAAGCACTTGAGTGAATTCCATTAGTGAAACACTTGAGCATGTTTTTTATCATCAATTTCAGATAGAAACAAGATGAGAGAAGCACAAAGAGAGAAAAGAAATTGGAGAACTTACCTAGCCAACTGAAACTTTGAAACCTGGAAGACTTCACTTCAGCAGCACAAATTTAGTGTTGAGAGTTGAGAGACGATGAGAAACGAGAGAAGAAAGAGGGAATTAAATAGCTGTGAAATTAGGTAATGCGATTGAAATTTTTTTAAAATGTAAAATGACAAAAAAAAACCTGGGGATGCATGTGAAAGTATCCAGCCGTCCCCGAAACGTCCCCAGCTCTTGGTAAAACGTCCCCGATGCCGTTCAGCCATACCCTACCACCGTGGCACTTCCCCGGTACGTACCCCAGCCGTCCCCGTGTCGTCTCCGTACCGGGGACGTATCGGATACTTGAAACGGCACATTGATGGCGTCCCCGTGCTTCCTAGCCTACCACTAGCAAAGAAAGTTTTGTTATGAAATTAAATAGATGAAACCAAAGTACCTAAATGGGGTTCTAAAGAGTAACTCAAACAGATAAGAGTTCAATCCAATTTGGACAAAAAGAATTCAAGAACACACCCTCTAGCAGCATAAATCACTATCCAAAATGTTCATATAGAGTACTTTCCCAGGCTTCATCATACAATGGAACATTTATTATCTTCCAAATGGCTGAGGTGAGTTATTGTTTCTTCTTTTCTGCTTTCCTTGGCCGAAGAAAAAGCGGAAAAAAAGAAAACATGTTGTCGACACAGTTTTTCGCCAGGGCGGGGAAATACCAAAACCGACTCGGGGTTTTCTCTTTAAAAGGATTTTTCGAAATATGTGGAGTCGCCACCATTCATTTAAGGTGCGATTGGGACATTATGAAAAACCTGGTGATTTTAATAAAACATTTTATTTTTATAAAAATACCAAGTTTTAAGGTATGCGAAAATCCAGAAATCGGGTTCGGGAGTCAGTTACGCGTAGGGAAGGATTAGCACCCCTTAAGCGCCCAAAAATTGGTACCTAATTGATTACCCTAAATTTAAAATTGGAAATTTTGAGTTCGATCTTTATTTAACTTGAAAATCATTACAGATGCAAAAAGTTGAAAATGGTATTCGTTTATTAAAGTCAATAGCATTCGCCCCCTAGCATAAACACGGGAGATCAACTATTGTGACTAATAACCAAACATTGCTTTAATTTTAGCAAACATGATTCGGTTTTGAAAAGGATGTCGACCTATTTCGAGAATCACCAATAGTCACCCCCTGAGCACGCTTGCGGGAGATGTACCATTAATTCCCTAATAAGTGAACATTGCCTTAGGTTTAAAAGTAAAATACAATCAAACAATTTTTTATTAATCCTAATTAAGATAAGTTAAATTAAAGGCTTTCTCTGGCTTAAAGTATCGAATTATGAAAATTAAAGAACCTAGAGGCATAAACCTAGAAGTGTAGGTTCTAATATTAACCCTATTTGATTATCAAACCAATTATTGAATCGAATAAATGTAACACCCATCTCTCGTATACCTTTTTGTAGATGAGATACATATGTTACATCACTTTTAAAATAGTTCCTCATTTGAAAACCCGTAAAATTTTATTCCTTTTTATAAAACATTTTAATTTAATAATAATAAAACATGCTTTAAACTTAAGTAATTAAACAAAAAGTAATGTTCAAACATTTCACCATTTTACATCATGGTAATCCAAACGTTTTTCATAGTGTATTTCCTAGATCTATTACATGCCAACTAAAAACATCCAAAAGTAGGCATTAATGTCATACTGTTACTGACGAGGCAACACTTGTTTTGATGTTCGGTGATCTCCTTACTCCGCTTGTATTAAAACCTATGCATGAAATAAACACACGTTAAATATTACTTAGTGAGGCAAAACTAATAGTACGATGAAATTATTATATCGTTATATCATATTAATCTGATACCAATTCATTATTTTCAAGTTATTATCATTTCGTTGCAGTGCACACGTAGTGCCCATACGATCATTCATAAACATATTATGAATTCTGTGGGTTGCACACATAGTGCCGAAACGATTATTCATCAACATATGATGAATTCCGTGAATTACATACATAGTGTCGAAACGGTTATTCATCAACATATGATGAATTCCGTGAATTACACACATAGTTCCGAAACGGTTATTCATCAACATATGATGAATTCTGTAAATTGCACACATAGTGCCGAAACGGTTATTCATCAACATATGATGAATTTCGGGAATTGCACACATAGTGTCAAAACGGTTATTCATCAACATATGATGAATTCCGTGAATTGCACACATAGTGTCTTTTTGGTAATCACCATACATATATTAAGAAATCATACATCTATGACTATCATCACATATAAGTACATAATAAATGCACTCACCTGGTTTGCCTCGCTATTGTATTCAAAACGCAAAGATGATTACTCAGGTATTTTGCCTTTGCCTTTCGTTTTGCTTGACTTGGGAGCTTGTTTTTGATCTACTCAAACATCCATTAAAGATACGTACAATATCAATTGTTAGTATATTTCCTAAAATTTATACTTTAATAATATTCACAAGTACTATTATTTACATTTCTATAACAATTTTAACCTATTTTATAGTTCCAGGCTCCATAGTATCGATACCTCTACCATGGTATCTATACTTCTATACTATGGTACCGATACATTTCTCTCAGTATCGATACTACTACACTATGGTACCGATACTCCCTTTTGGTATCGATACCATTTTTTCATTCTGTTATCCATGGTATCGAT